AGAATTTAGGGTCGTGCATATAATATTATTAAAAGCGTAATACATATTTAAATTTTTCGTAATTTCTAATAATTAATTTATTTCCACTAACAGGTAGTTATCTTACATGTACATCCTCATCAAATCAAGGTGAAACGAAGGTGAACTACTTGTTTTTTCCCGGTAAAAAATTTTTGCATAATTGTGCATGAATATATATATATATATAAACACGCATAAAGATTCATTCAAATATGTATAATAATATATAAAATATATATATTTTCGCATTGTTTGTTTTAGAAAAAAACAAGTTTGGAAAAATGTAAAAAATTTGTTCATATATATTTATGCATAATTTTATATATAATAATTATACATAAATAATTCTTTTACATTTCTTCAAACTTGATTTTTTTCTAAAACAAATAGTGCGACAATTACCTTTTTAATTATTCTGAATATTTTCACATTACTATTATTTCTACTACACTAAAAAGTAATTTTATAAAAGAAAAAAGGATGTACGAACATATGTATGGACATATTTCATATACAATTATACATGTTTATCGATATTTATACGTGTTTATATATATTTGTACATATTTATGTATATTTGTACATTTCATGCATGAAAAATTTGTTATCGGATTGTTTCTTCGTAACGAAAGATCACCGTTTGAGTGTTGTATGAACAGTTCCGAATTATAAATAACAACATCATTGTCGTTATCGTGAGACAAAGAAAAAGGTTTCCGATTACCGAATTAACTTGAATATCACTTGAGCATGCGAGATATTTTGTGACAGGTATTGATGTACATACAGGTAAACGGATGCTTACTTCCGGAATAAAGTATAGTTTATCGCGAGAAATCGCGAAATCGAATAATGAGAATGCCAAATTAGGTGAATGTCAACCACAAATGTATGGCTGTAAGCCAGGCGATTATTCCGGTCGAATTCCTCCGATCGATTGAAGCAGAAGATGTACTTGAAAATGACAAAATACTCTTCAAAATATCAATTTTCTAATATTTTTGTTTAAATAGAGTGTTCCTGCATATTTATACAATATGTAAAATAATTATTGAATATGTTTAAATAATTAAAAGAAGAAATGTAATAGTTAAGTTAAATGCAAATGTATAGTTTTCTCGCAATCTGAATAGTAAGAAGTGGGTGGTCGAGAAATAAATAATGCCCATATCGGACTACAGATTAAAAATGAAATTTAATCGATCAGAAGAAAAGACACCAGTATCAAGTTTAGTGAACTTTATTTTGATTGGTAAAATTCAAATTAAATTTCAATCTTAGTCTAAATCTTACAAGCTTAATGGATTTTTCTATTTTTATTTGATTTTTACTTGGTAGCATCGTTTATTTCTAAATTTTGAATATATAAATATAGAAAAAGAAAAGAAAGATAACTTGCAAGGGATGTGAGATTGTGACACCAAATAATGTCAAAAATCTTTAAATCTATATTGGACTATGTATTAGAGATTGAATTGCAAATTGAAAATTGGAATTTGACTAGCCCGATAATTTAATAATTTTAATAAATAAAGTAATTCTAGTAAAAAATAAACAACAAATCGTGTTATGCTAAGTATTTACAGATTAATGAAACAAAATAAGATGACTAATAAAATACAAATTTTATTTGTATTAGCAAAAAATCGTCGTGGAACGTTTCGCACTTAACAATAATTCATCTTAACAATAATTCATCTTTAGCCATTGTCATAAGATCGATATTTGTAAGAGTAAGAAGCATTATATATGTTACACGTTATATTCTTTTCTAACATCTTACATAGCGTTACCTTTTTTTATATATCTCGTATAGATCATTTTAAATTATATTTAGACACTATGGACAACGATTTTAACATTGTGGATTAATTATAAAAAAAATTTTGTTGCTTTACTTTTTTTTACTAATAAACGAAGAATTAGTTCTATTTTTATTATGGACTGCAATTACACCCATCTATTTTTATTATGGCTCTCTCTATAATTTAGACTTTTTGAGAAAAACGTTATATAATTTATTATTATGATATTAATGATGATTAATTAAATCTAAATATTTCTATGTCTACATTGTATAATGTGACTTCTTGCTGCCCGAGTTACATTGTCCAGCATATCTTATTTTATTCATTATCTTTCTATTATAACTTAATTTAATAATTTATTAAGATTTACGACTGAAGGTGATTTCATTAAATACGAAATTCAGCGAATTTTTTCTGACTGTGTAAATAAAATTTATTTTATTATATGTTGCTTTATTTTGCTCGTTTAATTGACCTGTATGTTATAATTTATTATTTAATTTTAATTGGTTATTTAAAATTCTAATCTCCAAATCGCAATCTTCAATGTGTAGATATTAATTGTTAGCAAAATTTTACTGATCTCCAGATTGGTCTCTAGATATATAGAGTGTCTTGAAATCCGTAGGAAATTTTATTGCAATCTGTAGGTAATATTATTATGAAACTTTGTGAAAAACTAAGTAATAAAAAGTGTAAGCAATTTTTTCCGTAAAGTAAGTTTTTAAATAAAAACGTTTAAATATAAACGTTGATTAAAAAATCATCTGTCCGTGTGATAGTATGCGTACAGCGGTAATGTTTTATTTAGTATCTAATACTTACACGCACGTCACATAGATAAAAACTTCTTAATCAATGCTTATTAGCAAACTCTAAACTTAAAAAAGTACTTCATAGAAAAAAATGGTTTACACTTTTATTACTTAATTTTTTATGAAGTTTCACACTGCATTATCCTCGAATTTTGGGACACCCTGTATAATATCAGGAGAAACAAATATTTCAAAATTGTGCTTTGTTATGCACGATTGCACGTATTTATGACGATACAAATTTTATACCGTTTTTTTTTGTAAAATCATGTTTTTTTATCTTTATATATTTTCATGTACATTAAAAACTTTTCTTTAAATATTAAAATAAATTAATTTTAATTTATTAAAATTTTTTTTTCTTTTAGACAGATGCGTTTTGAAAATTGGTCGATAATTAAAAGGAAAAGTTATCGTTAGAGTTAATAACCTTGGACGAAATTACTCATCTGCTTGTCAACGATTGTATTCGACGCGTTACTTTGCGCACTGTGATACACTTCGTGTTCTTTTCAGGCAGTCTCGATCTTTGCTTCTTTTATTCGACAACGTTGGTTAATTAATTCCGCGTAATTGTCGAATCATCGTTTCTTCTTGTATTATATAATTGCCGTTATACTATAATAGATCGTTATGACATAATTGATCGTAAAGATGAATTATTTGATGAACGATTCGCTAACCTTGGGAAATCATATTGTCTAACAAAATTAATTAACCTCAATTAAATAATCCTCAATTTTAGTTTCTTGTCATAAATAATATTTGCTTGATATTCCTAGCGGAAAAAAAACGGTGCTGTTGAAAAGCGATAAATGATAGTAAAACACAATATTTTTTTACTACTTCCTCTATTACATTCATAAATAAACATGCATGAATCTAACTGTGTTTACATCAAATATATAAATATTATCTTTATGCGATAATTTACGTCAGTTTAACAATGTAGATACCGTGATAGATTGTGTAAAATAAAGATAATATGATCACGGAAAACATATATTAGATAATTAAAAATTGTATTAAAAATTTTAAATAAAATAAAGCAATAAAGAGGATTTCCCAGTCATTCATCGATTGATGAATAATGCATGATGCATGTAATTCTTGTCGTATATATATATATTTTTAAGTTGAGATATGATAGTATCCTTGTATTAAGTTATCTATATAAAAGTATTTTCAAATATTAGTTGTTCGC